TCAGAAGTCCCAGAAGAAACAGTTTCGAATGTAGTTTATTTTTAAAATTTTTTTTTCTTCTTTTTATTTGAAATAGAAAATATCCTGAAGCTAACAAAAATGATTTATATTGTTTGAACGATGATGTTGAAAGTGTACAATTTTTAATGAGAAAAATTCAATTCTGTATGGAAATCAGTCAATCTGGGTACCAACAAAATACTAGTAATGATGAAACTGAAGCTTTCGTCATTGTTGTTGATCGAAAATCATTTTCTCTTTCCCACTCTCTCCCAAACGATAAAACAAACAACTCCCCAATTCTCGACTTTTAAAAGTATACGTTCCCATTAAATGAAAAGGGCATTTAATCTGAAGCCGCACGCATGCACATAAATTTTCGTGTATCTTCTTTTAAAAAACATGCTTTTCACTACGAATCTCTATTCCATTAAATCATGGGCCAACAACCGCCCTCCGAACGTAAACATGTGATTCAGTCGACGCGAGGGGAACCACGAACAAAAAAAAAAGAATTATTGCCTGTCAATGAGACAGGGGGAGAGTGGAAAAATCTCATGAGATTGTTTTAAATGGATTACGTATTTTGTTATAGAACATCTTTTCCCTAAGTAGGAGACGTAGGAGACGGTTAATCTGAATGCTTCTCTTCCAGAAATCATGAGAAGATGTTCATGAAAAGTGGAGTCCTTCAAAATAATGTTTTTGGAAAGGTCATTTTCCGGATACGACACGGTGAAGGAAATCAAGAAAGAATCCAAAAGGAATATTTCTTGATCCAAAATTACTGAAAAAAAAATTACCTGAAGTATAACTTCACATGTTTTTCTTCAAAACTTCTTTAATGAAAAATACTAAATTTTAATATAAATTTTTTCTCAATGCATAACTACGATTTTTTGTATGTGACCCATTTCAGCTCCTATTATTTTGAATAAAATTCTGGAGAATTGTTGAAAGTATATACAGCGTGACTCACGGTCGATGGTAGGTTAGACGTTTCTGGAAAACGCAAAGCATGATTTTTCTGAAAATTTCACCTCTCACATTTCCCTACCTGTTCTATCGATCTGAAATATTTTCAGCATTGCGGCGTTGCCACTTCTATCAAAAAGTCCTAGCAATTATATTTTTTTTAGTGGAACACTCCATATAATAAGACATTTTTGAGATTGCTCTAGTATTTTAATACTCTTTTGTTGATAATGTCCTATACCTATCTCTATCTGTTTTCGAGATAAAAAATAAAATGTGCCAAATATGGTCCAAAACATAGCCTTAATTGAAATTAAGTACATCAGTACTCTCAATTCATGAAAAGTTGATATTTTGATGATAGTTTGGACAAACTCGAAATATTCAAATAACACCAAGAAATCGACTCCATATCATACAGGGCGTGCTAAAATTACTATTATTTCCATTGTTCATAAAAGTAGACGAAAGTTCATTTTTTCAAATGAAACCCCCTGTATATTACTCGATAAATTGAAAGATGGTGAAAAATGCTTCAAGATGATATACATGTCCCTTAATGAAGCCGTTTTTGTGGAAAAATAGTCACTACAAGTGTTGAAAGTGGCATTTTATTTTGTGAGTGGGGCTTATTGCAAAACGAGCGTCAGCAAGTGGAGCAAACTCACGAGCAAAATAAAATCACTTTCAAGAAATGTATCATAGACATTTTTTTGTTTAACGTTACTGCTGATAATAAAAAAATTATAGGTTCCATGGGATTTGAACACACGATCTTTGAATTACAAGGCATATGTTACAACTACATACGCCAACTCACGTTATTTTAAGGAGGATTATTGGTTAGTCATGAAGGACTTTCTACAGTTGGACTGAATACTACTTCGTCATCGTCAGTAACTTCACAGGGATTTAATATTACCAATAGCAC